TAACCTGTCTGTACCCAAGTCCTTATCTCAGCCTCTGCCTGGAGGGGACCCAAGTAAGTCAAAGTCTTATATCTAAACCTTCTGGGTCCCTTGACTGGAATAACTGATTTTCTCTCATTTATTCTCACCCTACCTTGGAGGCTCTCAGGTAAAAACACACTCAACTGAGACAACAGAAGTGATTGTAACATGTGCTCATTACACTGCTTACTTCCCCTTTATGGAGTTCATCAAAATTATCTTTTTAACTAGTTTTGTAATTGTGTATTTGGTATCTCGTCACTTCTTAGCCATTTGGCTAAGAGCTAGAGTTTAATATGCATCTTTCTTACTAGACTTGGAGGTGGGTGGGTCTTCCTTGTTCATTCTAGTCTCTTTTGTACCTAGAGCCGTACTTAGCAAATGGTGGGCCATCATTGGATACTGTGACTTAGTGAACCATTCTTCATATGTCAGTTAATATTAGTAACTCATAGGCGCAGTGCGCAAGCGGCCGTCATGGTTGCCGCTCAGGGCAGCTCGGTGGCTGTGGGAGCTGGGGTCGCGGCGGCGCGGGTGCTCCGGGCCGAGGGCGCGTGTAATGTTCAAGCCCAGAAATGCCTTATGTGGATCGTCAGAATCGCATTTGTGGTTTCCTAGACATTGAAGAAAATGAAAACAGTGGGAAATTTCTTCGAAGGTACTTCATACTGGATACCAGAGAAGACAGTTTTGTGTGGTACATGGATAATCCACAGAACCTACCTTCTGGATCATCACGTGTTGGAGCCATTAAGCTTACCTACATTTCAAAGGTTAGCGATGCTACTAAGCTAAGGCCAAAGGCTGAGTTCTGTTTTGTTATGAATGCAGGAATGAGGAAGTACTTCCTACAAGCCAACGATCAGCAGGACCTTGTAGAATGGGTAAATGTGCTGAACAAAGCTATAAAAATTACAGTACCAAAGCAGTCAGACTCACAACCTAATTCTGATAACCTAAGTCGCCAAGGTGATTGTGGGAAGAAGCAGGTATCTTACAGAACTGATATTGTTGGAGGTGTACCCATCATTACTCCAACTCGGAAAGAAGAAGTAAACGAATGTGGTGAAAGTATTGACAGAAACAATTTGAAACGGTCGCAAAGCCACCTCCCTTACTTTACTCCTAAACCACCTCCAGATAGTGCAGTTATCAAAGCTGGATACTGTGTAAAGCAAGGAGCAGTGATGAAAAACTGGAAGAGAAGATATTTTCAATTGGATGAAAACACAATAGGCTACTTCAAATCCGAACTGGAAAAGGAACCTCTCCGTGTAATACCACTTAAAGAGGTTCATAAAGTCCAGGAATGTAAGCAAAGTGACATAATGATGAGGGACAACCTTTTTGAAATTGTAACAACGTCTCGAACTTTCTATGTGCAGGCTGATAGCCCTGAGGAGATGCACAGTTGGATTAAAGCCGTCTCGGGCGCCATTGTGGCACAGCGGGGACCGGGCCGGTCAGCCCCTTCTGAGCATTCAGAGTCCAGGCACGCTTTCCGTCCTTCCAGCGCAGCCGCCGCCTCACATTCCACAGCCACTCACAGCAGCTCTTTGGTCTCAAGCTTTACCATGGAGAAGCGAGGATTTTACGAATCTCTTGCCAAGGTCAAGCCAGGGAACTTCAAGGTCCAGACTGTCTCTCCAAGAGAACCAGCTTCCAAAGTGACTGAACAAGCTCTGCTAAAACCTCAAAGTAAAAATGGCCCTCAGGAAAAAGATGGTGACCCAGTGGACTTGGATGACGCAAGCCTTCCCGTCAGTGACGTGTGAGATAGAAGCTCGGGGAGCC